GTTGCAACTTGTGGCGCAATTAAATTTTCTTATGGCGCAATTAAGTTGCAACTCAATTGAAATTTGAAAATAATTATGGGGACCATCTTTAATTGTAAAACTGTATTACATAAATAAATTATATATTTAATCGATAAAAAATAGGTTGAAAAGATTTTGTTTGTAGTAATTTTTTACTAAAAAAATTGAGTATGTAGACAAATTTGCCTATAAGAGATCATATAAAATTTAGGTTATAAGTATTATTTTTTATTTATTAAAATAATATAAAAAATATATATCTTTTATGCTAAAAAATATAATATAAAATTATTTTATAAATTATATTTGGTAATCTGTTATATAAGAATTAAAATTTAAAAAGTTTGCAAATCAATTTGCCTGCTCTACAGTTTAAGAGATAACTTATAAATTATACAATGATAGTTATCCAAATATAACTAAACAAAAATATTAAATAAAAATATTCTTTTTGTTTAGATAATATAGATAAGTATGTCTATTTTTTTACATTTTTATACATAGTAAAGTATTACTTCTTATATTATATCAATCTTTAAAACAATTTTAACATGTATAAGATTGCTAGTTTAAACTTATTTTAAATTTAGCAAGATGTTTAAATCTTTTGCTAAGATTTTAAATATAATTTTACCATTTTAGTATAGTTTTTACCTTTTTCTGAGTTTCAAGATTTTAATAAGATTTTAATATAGTTTTACCTTTTTTTTGAATTTACAGATTTTTAATAAGATTTGCTCAATTTTACCTTTTATTATTTAGACAATTTGCAAAATCTCTAGGTTTCATTTATCAATATTTTGACTTTAGAAGATTTATATTATTTTATCCAACATATACTAAAAAAATCTGCTTTATTCATTTTAACTGCAAATTATAAATAAGTAAAATATAAAACAGGATACAATATTAGGCCAAAGGTTAAACATTTATTTAAAAAAATGATCGATGTTTTTAACTTCGAAAATTCACAGGAAGTTACAGTAACTAAATTTTAATTGGCTCAAATCAATTAATTTAGGTCACTAATTTTTCAAACTGAATTTTGCAATTTCTTCGATCAAAATTTTTAATCTTTAAAGTTCTAAAATCTAACGTGATTAAAATCCTACTACATTTACCATATAACCAAAACATGGCACAAGATCTTTCAGCAGAATGTTTACAACAAATTATTTCATATCTCGAAGATGATAATAAGTCTTTACATTCATGCTTGCTTGTAAATCGTTTTTGGTGTTATAATACTGTCAGCACTTTATGGCTTCGTCCTTGGCGTTCTTATGAAATTACACAAACCTCGGCAACAAGCTTAATTCAAACTTATGTGGATTGTTTGCCAGAAGAATCAAAGTTTAATTTATATAACAATGGAATTACACGTAAAAAACATCTAACGTCAACTACTCCTATTTTTGATTATCCTTCATTTTTACGTTCTCTCGATTACGATTATATGTATTGGTCAATTTCACAATGGCTAATATCTTGTTGGCTTTATCGTGTCTTAAATTGTGAGGATGAAATCAACGAATGCCAAACGGATCGCGTTGAAGAAGATATCATAAGAGACGCACCGGAAGAAAAATTTAGTGATGATGAATATAATGATGACAGGGCTGAAGAAGAAAATGAAAAAAAAGCCATTCTTGTAGCGAGAGAATTATGTAAACTTTTTAAGAATAGATGCAAAACTTTTCATGATCTTCGGTTGGAGAATAAAGCCATTCAAAGTGATGAATTTCCGTTCTTACCATTACCCATTGGTCCTTATAATTACTTGGAAAATCTACAACAACTTGTTTGTTTAGGCGATAACAAATCCGAACTTTTACTCGCCATATCAAATGTTTGTAAAAGTTTACGTAGAATTTATATAGGCTTCCCACTAGCACTTCAATGGAAATCTCATTACGAGTCTGATGCAATAAGTTTAGGTGCTCTAATCAAAAAACAAATACGACTAGAAAATATTTGTTTGTATGGATATAAACGGTTAATATCTTGCTTAATAGAGTCTCTTTTATCTCAGTCAAAGTCTTTGAATACTCTGGAATTAATGTATACTGATTTTAGAGAATCACAAGATTATCAAAGTCTGACAATATTACCTACTTGCAAAAATTTAACATCGTTAAAAATTCATAATTGTTTTATTCCTCCTGATGATGGAATAATGCCATTAACTTCTTTACAACAATTAGAAGAATTTGACTTTTGCAACGAATGGAATCCTCTTTATCCATTACCACAGCAGAAATTTTGGGATGAATTATTTAAAAATAATACTAAGACCTTGAGAAAATTATCATTATGGTGGATTAGATCTGATTCAAAGGATGGTGCGAAGATTATTGATTCAATTATAAAACAATGTTCTGAAAATATTTCCGTTCTACATTTACCTATATTATGGACAAATGAAATATTGAATCTATCTAGTTATTGTAAACAACTTAAAGAATTTAGTTTTAGTGGTGATGATTTTGATGCAAATGAATTTTTATCACAATTAGGTAAATTTGTTCCAGCTACTTTAGGTTCTTTAACTATTAAGGATGGTCATTGTGGTGGTTGGAACTTTACTGAAAAATGCTTAAGCTCTTTTCTTTCTGGATGCCGTGCTAAATTACGAATTATGGATTTAACTTCTTGTTCGTGTATGACTGATAGACATTATGATGTTATTAATAGGCGAGGAGTTATTAATTGTTTACACAAATAATTTCAATTACTTTGTGATTTGTGATAATTATTTATTTAATTTATATAATAAATCACACTTTATTTGTAAATGAATTATCCATAGTCATGAATATAATAGTTCGATTATTATTTGCAAATATATTTTGATTATGCTTCACATAAGATTCGAGCATCTTACATAAAAACAAAATGAAAATATTTTAAGTTTCAAAAGTTTAGTAATTAGAATTAATTATATGTTTCGTTCTTTTTATAGGTGGTAATTTCTTGTTTGAATTATTTTTATAAACTTTAAAATTTTTAAAGTTTCTAAATAATAATTATTAATTTACACTAATAGAATTAATTAAATAGTATAATTATGAAGTATTAAAATCTTTTTGATTTTATTAATTTAAAAATAATTTAATATAATGAATTAATAATAATAAATATCAATTTAGAGAAAAAATCATTCATTATCTAGATAAATTATAATGATATAATAAAATATATAATATTTATGATTTTTCTTTCTTTTTTACATTTTTATTTTGTAAATATATTATAATTTTTTATATATATTATAAACTTAATAGATCTATTTTTGATTCTTAAATATTATAATTATAATTAATTAATCTCTTTTTAAGATTTTATAATCTTAAGAATTTCTTTTTATATTAAGTATTTATTTAAGTATCTACAATTTTTCATTAAAGATTATTTTAAAAAAAAAATAATAATAAATCTTAATATTATTAATTATAATTAATTCTTATATAAAAACTATTTAAAATTAATTTGTAATAGTTAATTAATTATTATATTATAAATTAACTAAATTTGTAATAAAATATAAAAATAAAATATATAAACAAAATAATTGTAATTGTTACTAATATTGGAATTTAATTTTAACATATTATAATATAAAAGATAAACTAATTAAGTAATAGCTTATCTTATTTTACCAAAATGATAATCATTTTAAATAATTATAGTAAAATATAATTTATTAATTTTCTTTTTTATAATATAAGATATTTATAAATATAAAAATAATATAATTAATATAAAATATAAAAAATTAGAAAATAAAAATAAGAAAATAAAAATAAAATTAAATAAATAAAGATATTATAATTAATCTTTAATTTTTAAAAATTATTCTTTAATTTTATAAATTTTATTATCCCTTCAACTGTTTTGCTTACAAATTTATAGGTAATTTATTTATTAATTATAATTATTTTTAAATATTTTAAAATATATTATTAAAAATTAATACTTTTATAATAAATTTTATGATGTTTTCTAAGTAAAAATTAAAAAAAATATAATTAATTAGTGATTTTTTAAAGATAAATAAATAATAAATTATTATAAAAAAATTTAAAATTTTAAATTCATATATCTTGCTATCTATTAATCTCAAAAATATAAAAATACTATCATTAAATAGATTTTAATATAATAAATCCAATAAATTAAATTTTATATTTTGTAATTATTAAATAAATAAATTATTTTAAAAATTAAAAAATTGAAAAATTAATATATATTGATAATTATGAATTTTAAAATTTAAAAATACTATCATTAAATATATCATAATATGATAAATCTAAAAATTTTATTTTATTTTTTTTATAATCATTAGATATTAAAATATTTTAAATATTTTAGAAATAATTTTATACTTATAGTTTAAGAAATAATTTTTAAAATATTTTTATATAAATAAATATTAATATAGATGAATCTAATTATAACAATATATTATGCATCTTATTTGTAATAACTTCAATTTTATCTAATCAAAATTTAAGATCAGGTGTAATTTAATAATTTAGCAAAAAAATTTTTTTTTAAAAATTTCAAGAAACTGTTTATAACTTAAAATTTTATCTATGAAGCTGCCTTTTGTATATTAAATAAAAATTTTTCAAATTAAATTTCACTAGTCGAAATAGTCCAAATCGGCTAAAAATCAGATGACTGATTTTAGGCTGATTTTGATACTATTTACATCTGATTTGCCATATTTTCTGATCAGCACAAAAAGGTGCTGATATACGCCGATCGATTCCAATCGGACATGGCTATTCGGAACTTAAATTCAACCATAAATCAGCTTAAAATTGGCCTAAATCAGCAACAATTCAAATGCCGATAGACACTGATCAACTCCAATCAGACATAGTCATTTGGCATCAATTCAGAACTTAAATAACCATAAATTAGCCTCAATTCAGCAACAATTCAGATGCTAATCGATGCCAATCGACTCTAATCAGATAAGCAATTCAACCATAAATCAGCCTAAAATTAACCTCAATTCAGTATCAATTCAGCAACAATTCAGACATCGATCGATGCCAATCAACTCCAATTGGACAAGCAATTTAGCATCAATAATCAGTACATTTTATTTATTAAATTTATTAAATATTAAAATTTTATTAATAATAAAAACCTAATATAAATTTGCAAAAATATAACAAAATATCACTAAAATCTACTGATTAATTTCCTATTAAAAATAAAATAATAAAATAATAAAATATGATCCATTTCCTTCTAAAATCCTCTTAAATCATTCTAAATATAGATAAATAAATAATATATGATAAAAATATGATCCATTCCTTCCAAAATCGCCTAAAAAATATAAAAATAATAAATATAAAATGTAAAAAATAGAAAAATCAACCCAAAATCACCCCAAAAAATGTAGATAATTATTAAAATCAACCCGTTCCCACCAAATCGACTAAAAAAAATGTAAAAATAATTATTAAAATTGACCCATTTCCACTTAAATCACCAAAAAAAAATATAAAAATAATTATCAAAATTGACCCAAATCACCCAAAAAAAACGTAAAAATAATAATAAAAAAATCAACCCTTTCTCATCCAAATCGCCCGAAAAAAAAACGTAAAGATAATAATAAAAAATTGACTCTTTTTCACCCAAATCGCCCGAAAAAAACGTAAAAAATAATTATTAAAATCAACCTGTTTCCACCCAAATCACCCAAAAAAAAACGTAAAAATAATATTAAAATTGATCTATTCCTACCCCAAATTACCCAAAAAAAATGTAAAGATAATAATAAAAAATTGACTCGTTCCCACTCAAATTGCCCATAAAAACGTAAAGATAATTATCAAAATTAACCCAAATCACCCAAATCACCCAAAAAACGTAAAGATAATAATAAAAAATCGACCCAAATCACCCAAAAAAAATGTAAAGATTACTATATACCCACTAATTAAAAACAATTTTAAAAAAAAATATAATTAATAAACTTAAATTATTAAAAAAATAATAATAATAATATATAAACAATATATACTTTTGATTTATTAAACATATTTTCAATTGTTAATTCTTTGGAAATTTTTTTACCTTCTTCCATTTGTATATTATGAAATTTGTTTAAATGTTTTGTTAAATTTGATGTACTTCCTCCTGAAAAAGTATAAACTTTATTACAAAATTTACAAGTAGCTTTTTTATTTTTTTATAATTACTATCTTTTATAAAATATTTCCAAACTTCACTATTTGTAACTTTTGTTACAGTTAACTTTGATAAAGTTTGTGAAGAACACATCTCAACTTCAGAATTAAAACTTTCATTATCATTATGATAACTATATTCTGCTTCATCCATGACTTCAATAACTTCTATAACTAATAAATTATAAATTATATAAAAATAAAATTAAAAAAAAATTAAAAAAAAATTAAATAAAATTAAATCCACTTACTGCAGCTGCTAATATTTGTTTTAGATAATAATTTAATTTATCAAAAAAAAAGCTAAAAAAAAATTAAAAAATAAATAAATAATTAATTAAAATATTAATTTAAATTAATTAAATTAAACCCCACCCACTTATCACAAATACCAACCAACTATTAATAAAGAAATCTAAAAAAAAAAAAATTTAAAAAAAAAATAAAAAAAAAATTAAATTAAATCAAATCCACTTACCACAGCTACCTAATATTTGCTATAATTAAATAGATAATAATAATTTAATTTATCAAAAAAAGCTGAAAAAAAATAAATAAAAAAATTATTAATTAATTAAAATATTTAGTTTAAATTAATTAATTAAACTTCACTCACTTATCGCATTCCAACAAATTATTATTAAAAATCTAAAAAAAAATTAAAATTAAAAAAAAATTAAATTAAATCAAATTCACTTATCACAGCTGCTAATATTTGCTATAATTAAATAGATAATAATAATTAAATTAATTAAATTAAATCCTACTCACTTACTACAAATTTCAACCAATTATTATTAAAAAATCTAAAAAAAAATTTAAATTAAATTCACTTACCGCAGCTGCCAATATTTGCTGTATATAATAATTTTAATTTATCTAAAAAAAAATTAAAAAATAAATAAATAATTAATTAAAATATTAATTTAAACTAATTAAATTAAACTCATTTACCATCGCAAATGCCAACTAACTATTAATAAAGAAATCTAAAAAAAAAAAATAAAAAAAAATTAAAATCAAATCAAATCCACTTACCATAGCTGCTAATATTTGCTATAATTAAATAGATAATAATTTAATTTATCAAAAAAAGCTAAAAAAAATTAAAAAAAAAAATTATTAATTAATTAAAATATTAATTTAAATTAATTAAATTAAACACCATCTACTTATCGCAAATGCTAATCAACCAACTATTAATAAAAAAATCTAAAAAAAAAAATAAAAATAAAAAAAAAATTAAATTAAATCAAATTCACTTATCACAGCTACTAATATTTGCTATAATTAAATAGATAATAATAATTAAATTAATTAAATTAAATCCTACTCACTTATCGCAAATTTCAACCAATTATTATTAAAAAATCTAAAAAAAAATTTAAATTAAATTTACTTACCACAGCTGCCAATGTTTACTGTATATAATAATTTTAATTTATCTAAAAAAAACCTAAAAAAAAATTAAAAAATAAATAAATAATTAATTAAAATATTAATTTAA